TATATATATATATATATATATATATATATATATATATATATATATATATATATATATATATATATATATATATATATATATATATATATATATATATATATATAAAGTTTCAAATTAGTCAATGAGTACTTATTTATACTACGATATGATGCGTCGGAGCAATTTTAAAATATAAAAACAAATTTGTGTGTTCTACGCACAAATTTGATAATTTTTTCATATATTCTGAATTTATATTGATAAATCTATTAAAATAATCGTTAAATATATAATTTGTGTATATAACCATTTATAATGTATGAATATAAACTCAAAAAAGAGAATAATGAACTTAGTACGTGGCATTAAGATTTCAAATATATTTAGTAAGAATCTAGTAACAAAATAATTTTTTGGTCAAATGGTAGAAATAAAATTAAACTTGCTTAGGTTTAGCTATCCTCCATCTGAAGGTTTGAACCTCTGGGACACATGATAATTATTTTATTATTTTTTTCTTCATTCTATATCGGTTCTCCATTTTTGTTTTTATCCCTTAAGAAATTATAAATTAAAAAAATATATATATTTTTAATAATTTTATTTTTTTCTTCATTCTATATTAATTCTCCATTTTTGTTTTTATCCCTTAAGAAATTATAAATTTAAAAAAATATATATTTTTAATAATTTTTTATAATTTTTTTCTTCATTCTATATTAGTTCTCCATTTTTGTTTTTTATCCCTTAAGAAATTATAAATTAAAAAAAATATATATTTTAAATAATTTTATTATTTTTTTCTTCATTCTATATTAGTTCTCCATTTTTGTTTTTTATCACTTAAGAAATTATAAATTTTAAAAAAATATATATTTTAATAATTTTATTTTTTTCTTCATTCTATATTAAATTAAAAAAAAGAATTTTTTTACTAATTTACCGTTCCATTCCTAGAGCCTTTATCTAGACAAGTAATCCACTCCTTTGACTGACCGTGCACATGAAAAGAAAAAAAAATTCCTAGAACTAAACGATATTTACGATTAAAAAAGAACAATTGTCAGTATAAAATGAGAAATTTAATTAATTATATTTTGAATTGTAAATTGACAAAAAAAAAATGGAAATACAAATATTTTTATAATATAAACAAATAACGCTCTTTATTTCATTAATTACTTGTCTACTTTTTTTTGGGTTGTCCTTGTTGCTTGTCCATTTTGATAAATTAAGAAAATATCCCTTTTTTTTATCTATTATATCCTCAATTAATTACTTTTTGAAAATTTCAAGTTTTTTAATTCATGCACTTTATAATTAATAGGCTAAAATGATAAACTCATTTTATCAATCATCATTTTTTAATAGGTGTATCAATTAAAAACTGAACAAGTAATAAGATAACACGTTAAAAATCTATTAGGCATGTGGCTCATTCGTGATAATTTTTTTAAATATAATTAGATCGATCACAATATATCAAAATATATATGTTGCCTAATGTGGGTAAGCATGAATAATATGTAGAGTAGTGAATAAACATGAGAATTTGATTTTCTATATTTTATGGACGTAAATGTGAATGTAGTACTAGATTTTGAAAGAAATAAAGATGAGGAAAGCTAACTTACTCATAATTTAAGCAAGAAACTAATTACTAGAATTAAAATAAATTTGAGCTTTCTAAGATCGAAATACTTATCTCAAATCAAAATTAAAAAATCACAGTATATACTATATATATACACAAATTTAATCTTTTCTCTCCACAAATTTAATGTTATTCAGTCAATTAATTTAATTCAAAACAAAAAAAATGAACAATTCACTATATATAAAAAAATACAGTATATTATTGTACACACAAACTTTTATCTTGTACAGTAAATTAATTACATATCATATATTAGAAAGGGCAATCAATTTTCGATCCTATAATTTGACTTGAATTACTAATATTAGAGTAACAAATATGATTTTAGCGTAAAACTGAATTCATTATAAATTTGTGTGTAAATATTCCCTAGCCCTATCATCATATTAAAAAAAGATGAAGCCCATGATCATATTAAAAAAAGATGAGAGGTAGGTAAGATGGAAGGAATTCTATGCTATACAACAAAAAAAGAGAATTAGTCACGAGTCTGTTGTCATGTTTTGTCTACTTGTGTATCGAGGTTTTTTTTTCTTGCAAAAAATTGAGTTCATCTTGAAGAGAGTTTAATTTAACAGTAAGTCTTTTTGAATTTTGATTACAAAGAATAATTTCACGGAATTTTATGATATGTTCAACCTATAATTCATTATAGGATGAAAAATTTGTGAAAAAGGAAACACAAAATTATTCTGCTCATGGAAAGGCCAAAGGGTTGATTGAGATGATTTACCCAACAACAAATAAAGAATAGCCATCAATAGGCCATGATTGGACGCATACTTTCATTAATTGAACGATCAAGAGTATCTTACTCAATATATTTCTTGCTATAGATAACATTCGAATATAATAAAACATAAATTATTCTCGTAGGTGCAATTTGAAGTTACTACTATTATTTGTTCTAGTTCATAGAAACTAAACATATATAATTTATTTCTTGCTATAGATAACATTCGAATATAATAAAACATAAATTATTCTCCTAGGTGCAATTTGAAGTTACTACTATTATTTGTTCTAGTTCATAGAAACTAAACAGATATAATATATGTTCTTTGAACGAATTTATACTACTATATGGTATGTTTTAGCGATCTTTTATTAATAATTAGTGAGTTTAAGTTCAACGGTAGTGAATATCATTTTTAATTGTTGCATCACCTCCCTCACCTAGGTCACCTTCAATTTCATCATTAGGATTATTTCCACAATTATCTTCAAACCCTTCATTAATACCAGAACCTAATTCACTTCAACTTCCCGTTCCAGTTCCAGCTCAAGCACTACTTGTTCCACCATTTCCAGCTAAAGGACCAAAACTACTTCCAAAAGGACCTCTAATACTATCACTTAATCCACCAACGCCGGCTCCTAAACCAAATGGAGGCGTAATTGCACCTACAACACCACCAAAACCACCAAAAAAGGCAATAAAAGGTGCTAAAACTATTCATTCTGTTCATCAGCTGATGCTTATGGTTTTTCCTTCATTGCAATTAGGCTCCTCGCGTTTATAGGGTAAGCAATTAGGCTCCTCGCGTTTAACTTCTAGATGATATAGTCACACACACTTTAATTAATTAACATGGTATAGATCAGAACGGATGAGGTCCTAATTAAGTCTAAGCCTTACCATTACTATTCATTATTTAAAAGATTTTTCACATGCTTGATTAGGAAATAGAAACACTAATATTCAAGGCCACACATGAAGGGGATCGAGGTGTTGTAAATATATAATTGAAAACATAAAATTAGCTTACCCTTTCTCTAACTTATAACCTTTTTAAACTTTTAGATAAGTCGATTAACATACATTTCAGTTGAAACTAAACCCTTATACATCATAAAACATCACTGCACCTTTAACAGTCTCAGATGGATTATAAAACTAATTAAGTTACAAAGTTTTACCTAACCTAGCTAAGCTAGGTTAGTTTAAGCAAAAACAAGAAGGTTACTTCCTTGTACTAGCATATACTTGATAAGGATTAACTAAAATAGTTTTTTTTTCCTTAAGGAGATAATAGAGACCAAATGATTTTAACCAAGGGTGAGGTCAAGAGAGATATATGAACTGAGAGATAGCTCCAAGGACATACTGCTATGGGAGTCTTCCTCTTCAATCATTGAAGTTGCACTGTTATTTGGCAAATTGCTAATACCATATGCTCGCACGATTTCATTATCATCATCTCTATCCTGCCAAAATAAAAATAAAAAATTCTCATTTGTAACTATATATGTCAAGTAAAGAAAGTTAATTAATAAAAAGTGAATAAATGATTTCGTTTATTACTCGAATAGTAATGGTTCCATCGAAGAAATCCCTAAACATGTAGTATCGTCCTTCCAATCCCATCTTCTTCTCTGGCATAGATTTTCTAGAAAGGGTAAACATGTAATTTCATACATCATCATTGAAATTCAATACTAGCTCCGGAGTTATATCTCTTATTTTTTAGGTTATTACGACATTGATGATGTAAAAAGTGTTCACACTCAAAATAGTTCCCATTTTTAATAGGAAAAAGAAAGAGAAGAAAAATGAGACGAACCATGGAGGAGGAAAAGCAGTAGAGCTGGAAGGAATTTTGTCCAAATAGTTAGTTGTTACAGTCGGATTAAGATAACCATCAAACACAGATTTGCCATTGTTATGATTGTAACGATGAACAAGGTTTCCCTGTGGAAAATTCATTTCATCGGAACCATTAAATATGGGGGCTTTGCCATTGTTATGATTGTAACAATGAACAAGGTTTCCCTGAGAAAAATTCATTTGATCAGAACCATCAAACATGGCAGCTTTGCTTTTGATATGATTGTAACGATGAACAAGGTTTCGTTGAGGAAAATTCATTCGATCAGAACCATCAAACATGGCAGCTTTGCCTTTGATATGATTGTGACGACGAACAAGGTTTCGCTGAGGAATATTCATTGAATCTGAACCATCAATTCTGTTTCTCTTTTTCCCATTTGCAGCTTCTGCTTCAGTTAATTAAAAATCAAAAAAGGTCAAATGAGTTGGTGGTAGATATAATTAATTAACTCAATGGCATTACATACTTATGTGTGACAAAATTAAATCAATTTTGGTCTCCCTAACAATAGATCTAGCCTTAGTAGAAGAGGTTCTAAGTCCTTTTTCAATTTTAGTTAACCTGAAGGTGATATGGAATCAGGCAAAACTCAAAAAAAGGCTTAAATGAAACAAAAAAAAATCCTCAAATGGAACTTCTAATAATATTTTTTTGATTGCATCACCGCTTGCTACTCATGTACTTTCTATTTATCATCTTCTTAGATAATAAAATCAAGTTTCAAGCGATTGAATTTTTTTTCTTTGTGAAATTTAAATTATGCACCTTAATCACTCCTTTAATTATATAATATATATATACAAAATCATACAGAAGAAATGAAATTTGATAAAAAAAGATTTAAGTAAATAGGGATATATACCTTGCATCTCTTGATGTTTCATGTTTTTGTACATCTGTTCATATCATAAAAATACATTTTCTTAAGCCACCAAAACGGTGGAAAAAAGAGAAAAATAACAAAATTAAAGAGTTATGATTTGTTAATTACCTGAAGGTGACTCTTAATGTGAGATATGGTAAGGCCCTTCACATCCATTATTTGTAGCACCCTCTTTGGTGTTGCTCCTAATTATTAGTATATATATATATATATATATGTACCATAACAAATTCAGTAATAAATTATATAAAGATATATATATGTACCAAATTATTAAGTCATCTTGATATATAGGTTCACTCTTCTTTTTTAATAGAGGAATGTAAAATCTTTATATAATATATATAAAAAGAGAGAGTTAAGCTTACGGTCAACTCCACCAAGACGCTCAACAACATACACAAAGCGGCAATGAAGATCATGTGTCCATCGGAGTCTTGGCATTGTGGATTTAACATATGTTCTTATAGCAAACTCTGATGATTTATCATTACTTCTATATTCTAGCTCCATGGATAAAGAAGGAGAATTTTCAGAGAATTCCAACCCTTTCATCATTTTGTTAAAAAGATGAGAGATTAAGAAGATAGGTAAGCTTAGATGAAGAGAGGAAGGAGTTATAAGTCTATGTTTTTAAGTATACAAAAAAACTAAAAAGGAAGTAAGTAATAAATATTCTGAATTTCTCATTATTTAATAGGATTTTCTTTGTTTGAAGTCAATATGCAAATATTCTTGTATGCCTTTACATGAGATCTCTTCTATAAGGGCCACCTCAACCTCAACAACCACCCACCACCCTCCGTAAAGTCACCTTTTAAGTTTTTTTAACCTTAAAAAATGGTCTAAAGATATCATTAATTGTGTTTGAACATTAATGTAATCGGTAATGTGAAGATTAGCTAAAATACAGGCTAGTGTGTGAAAACCTCTTTTGGCATTTGTGAAGTCAGTTACAAATAATAACACAACAAGCGTGTACTGTTTGACTTATACAAGTCTTTTCACTAGTAGTTAAGAACTTTATTAAATGAAGGATATAAATATTATGAAAAAAGCTCAATAATTTTTTTTAACTTTGAATTATTCATTTATTTTAAACTAAGAAAAAGGGATTCAACAATTCACTTAATAAAAAATAGAAGGAATATAGATAAGTTTCTATGATCTTGAATTCAAAGGCAGGTCTATGGTGTAAGGTGCGGATTTTTGAAAATTCAATAATTTTTACATAGATTTCATATTTATATTGATAGATATATTAATATACGTTAGATCTATAATTTATGTATATAATCATTTATAATCTATGAATTTAAATTAAAAAAAGAAAACAATAAACTCAGCTGACTACATGGCTTTAAAATCTGAATATATTTGGTAGGAATCTAGTAACAAAATTAATTTTTTTGTCAAGTGGTGGAAATAAAATTAAACTTTCTTAGATTTAGCTATCCTTGATGAGGGTTTGAATTTCTGGGGCACATGTGATGATTATTTTATTTTAGTTTTCTCCATTTTATATTACTTCTCCATTTCTATTTTTTACCTCTTAAGAATTTATATATATATATACTAATTTAACATTCCATTCCTTTTAGAGCCTTTATCTAGAGAAATAATCCACTTCTTTGACGGAAGAGGCTCTTCTCCAATTTCTTCAAGTGTTATTTTATATAGTTGACATGTGTCTATTTAATTTTTTAATTGATCATATTAATTTTCTTAAGTAAATATCATTAACCATGGTTATGAGTAGGTAATTCTCTCTCCTCTATCATCTCTTTCTTTCTTACTTGTTTTGACCAAATATCATTAGTCATGGTTATTAGTAATTCTCTCTCCTTTCATTCCTTTCTCAATCAGCAAAAAATACTTCTTCCCCTTCAAAACTCACCAGAAAATAGATTGAAATTTGGGAGAGTGACAAACCAAATTTGGGAGAGGAGAGAGAGGAGAACGAAAATATATGTATTCATACAATTTTCTCTCATTTTATATATTTGAGTTTGTATAAAAGCGAGAGAGGCGAGGGAGACTGCCACCGAAAAGAGAGTGGCGAGCGAGATTCCACCAGAGAGAGGTGAAAATAGAAATAAGTTGCTATAGGGTACAGTTAAATCAAACTATATTTATAGCATTTATTTGAATTAATAGTTTGCTATTATATACAATTTTCCCAAAAACATTTCACTTAATTAATATAATAGTACTCCACAGTATGCATTGAAAAATATATATACTTTCTTCGTTTTAGCTAATTATGTGAATCTATCTAATTTGATTATCTCGCAATCTAAAAAAAAAAGATTGAAATTTTTACATGTCATAATAAGATATTACAAACTTGTGATTCTAATCATGTCATATCATTTTTGTGGTTGTAATTAGAGTTATTCATTAAGGATAAATTAGAAAAATTCAAATTAAATTATTTCCAAATTTATTATAAACTTGTGATTCTAATCCTCTTCACATTACTCTATCCTAAATACACAATAAAAGTTTGTTACATGTAATTCATTCGCAATAACTTTATCAAATAATTTAATAGATCGATCAAAACGCAACATATATATCAAAATTATGTCGGCCCCACAGGCAAATGTAGTCTATAAAAAGATTATACTATATTCGTTAGCTAATTAATTCCTCAAACATGGTATTGACAAATTAAAAGTTTTGCATACGCCATTTATTATATTATATTGAGTTAGAGCTAGACTAGACAACAAATCATATTTGTGATTTTTCTGAAATTCATGATAGGATGACAAACTTTGCATGTCATTTTTTATCATTTCTGTCCCAATATAGTAAGTAAAATGGAGTATATGTAGTTTTAGAGTAGGTGCATAAATTCGAATTATCTTACGTAAGTATTAGTGGAAGGATGGAATTAGGAAACGTAGCTAAATTATAGTACGTAAATGGACAAAAATATAATCCTTGCTGGAACAAGTCGTAAGCATGAATAATGAACACACTCCAGTTATTTCAGAAAATTAAAACTCCATGGAATTGTTGGAGTGTTCGAATAGGCCTTGTTCATTTATTAAAATTCCGATATAAGAGATGATGTCACAACAGACGTGAAAATAGGATTTTAAATTAGTGTCTAGTTAATTTTGAACTGTAATATAAGTATGTACATGTGAAAATAGAGTATAAATTAAGGGTGTGTTTGGTATGAAGGAAAATGTTTTTCTGAAAAATAAGTAGATTTATGACTTATTTTCTGATGCTTGGTTGGTGAGTAGAATTTTTTTTTAGAAAATAATTTTTACTGTTTAATTCATGAACGAAAAATATTTTTTAGTGTTACTAGAGTAGAAAATAATTTTTGAAATTGAGAATAGTTTTATAAAAAAATTAATTTTTTTGGGGGTGGGAGGGGGGCTATAGGGGGCTGGCGGGGTGGGGTAGGGGTAAAAAAAATATTTTTTAAAAATAAAATTATTTTGTTATGGGGGATGGTGGACAGGCAGAGGGTGATAGGGGTATGGATTAAAAAATAAAAATTTGAAGTTGAAAAATATTTTTTTAAAATAATTTTTTTTGGGTGTGTGTATGAGGGAGGTTGCTGCTCCAGGTGATGGTGGTGGTGGGGTTGGGGGTTGGAGGCTAGAATTGAAAAAAAATATAAAATTGAAATTGAAAATATTTTTTAAAAGTAAACTAAAAATTTATTTTGAGAGGTGAAGTAGGTGGGGAGATCGGAGGCAAAGGTAAAAAAAATTAAAGTTTGAAGTCGAAAATATTTTTAAAAAATAAATTTAATTTTTTAGAAATTGATATTTTTTAAAGGAAATGCAATTTGAAGTTGGATGAGAGTTTTGGAAAATGTTTTCCTTAACTTTTGAAGGGAAGTCATTTTCTTTAATTTTAAGGAAAATGAATTGATTTAGAAAATATTTTTCATAATTTTTTTCCCAAACAAATATAAAAAAATTAAAAAATATTTTCTTAAAAATATTTTTCTTCCTACCAAACACACCGTAAGTTGGAATGTTATACAATCTCTTTTTGTTTGTGGTCATGATGAGTGATGACCATTAATAGCTTAGGAGTAGTAATTAGGCCCAAAGGAACAAGTACTATTTAGGTAACATTGGGCTGAACTGTTCCCCTGAATCAACTATAAATCAAAGACCAATTACTCAAGAATATTTTCTCTTGTTGTAGTATGTAAGACCTATTAGATGAGAGAGAGTTACTCGAGTAGTAAGTATCCTTGACTTTCACTCTGAAGGTTGTGAGTTAAGGTCATTAAGGAGTTATTCGTGTTAGGTGTTAAAAGGTGTGAATATAAAATGAAGAGTTGTAATTTTAATGAAAAATTGTGACTTTTATAAAAAAATTGCGATTTTTATAAAAAGTAATGACCTGTCCGAAAGATTGTGACTTTTCCAAAGGTTTATGACTTTTCCGGTAAGGGCCAATAAGAATTTTTTCGCGCTACCCTTTGTTTTCTATAAATTGAGTGTTTTCTCTCATTTTAATAATATAATTTGTAGACTTCTTTTCAACTACTAAATTTAGAATTCTAAGTTTACTTTACTGTCGTTGAGTGGCTCGCTGACACTAGCGTTTTGGGGTAGCAATACACTGGGATTGAGATCATTCTATCTTGGGAGGACATCTTACAAATCAAATCTCGGATACTAGAGGGAAATAAATTCCTTAAAGGGACACCGTGCATTTAGTGGCTTGATCTTCTTTTTGTCTTTCTAGATTCTAGTATGTGTCACATATTTTAGATTTGTGAATTAATTTTTGTCTATCTGTTTTTCACTGGTTCATTAAACTTCGGTAACTTCGTGTTTCTGCAAAGTTTGTTAGAATCAATAAGATTTTTTAAACACAGACTGACAACATTTCTTATTGAAAAAAAATTCGTCTATTTTTTCTAATCTGTTTCTGATTTTAGTTTCTCAACTAGTTTTAATTTTCTAGTTGTGAAAATGTTCTTTAACTTTGTTATGTCTTACCAAGTTCTTAAAATATTGTTCCAAGTATATCTTAGGAATACAAGATGAACAACAACTCGAATGACCTTAAAGTAAAGAAAGTTATTCTCAACTAATCTCTGTAGATTTAACCAAAAGTTTGGGGAAAAAATAATGAGATGTGAAATGATACAGTTCAACAATTAAACACATGATACAAATATATATAG